ACCATCTGAAATGAAAATTAGCATCACCTGCACAGTATGTTCGGGCACCCCGACACCTTCTCCACATAAAAGGTGCAAAACGGGCACCTTTTCCAGCCTTGCTTATTTGCCAGTTCCACAAGCAACAAATCTTCCTTCTCCCAGTCATCCTGTCGAAGCTGCTGAACATCCTTACAAGCCAGATTCGGATGCCATATCGACTCGCACATACAACAGAAATGACGGTAGCATTGATAACACTTTCCCTCACTATCCTCTGTCGTATAAACAAAACCAGAGCACTCCTTAAACGGGCAAGAAAACTTATATTTCATCAATAAATTAGACCAATGGTCGAACACCTCGCGTGTAAGAACTGGCTTGCACATTTCAGGTGTCAAAGTGCCAACTTTGCATCCAGCATCAGGGCATGCAATCGCAGCCTCTTTGTTTCTTATCTTCTCCGAAACATACCTGCCGACGCACTTCGAACAGTAACTATGTAAGCAGTCATTTATGAAAATGAAATCAGAAACTGACTTGTTCTCCATACAGATGCCGCATTTCTGTTTCCGTCTACAGTTTCTCCCCGCTTTCATCGTTCTTTGCAGCTTTCCACACTCAGCTTCACCTGCACAGCAAAGTTTTTTATGTTGAGCAAGAAAAAGAATTTATGTTTTTTTATTGCTCTATTGTGATTTCCCTTATATTTTGTTTCAATCGCAAACTTCGTCAAATTAATGAAATATAAAGGAAGAAGTTTTATGCTATCTGCAACAAATCCTACCTGATGCGATAAAGCTGTAAGCGATACAGAAAACCACAAGAATCAGAAAAAAAGCAACTTTTTATAGAGGATTAAAAGAAGAATAAATTGAGAAAGGAGCGACGTCTCGATTAACCATGGCAGTACTACTTTCTGGTTTATTTCCAAACTTCTTACTTAATTACTATCTAGTAGTAAATAAGTTGAAATCATCTCGACTGTTGATCTTTTTTATGGCCTCATGGAAGGTGAAGAACATCAACGGTTCAATTTGAAGATCAAAACGATTTCCGATGCCTGGATTAAGTAATCTTGAAATTCATGAGTTGATTAAGGGTGAAGCATGATCGAGAAAAGAGTGGTGCAATTTTATTTTTTTGAAATTTGTAGCGATTTAACGGTACAAATTTTTATAATTAACTTAAATGATTGAACATGAACGATCTCATAACTCGCCAGGAGCTGGAAGACATGAAGTCATCCATATCATGTTAGCTAAACGCACTTGCAGTATCGAGAACCCACTTGGTAAAGTTGCCTCTGCCTCACCAAACCCAGCCTACTATAAGATCAACTACAATGTAAAGA